AATTCTTGGTGTCTTAATATTTCGTAAATGTTTCAAATCATTCAAATCACACACACAGGAGGTCCAGGAAGTGCCTCGTCCTATTACTAAATACAAGCTCCCAGACCCACAGCAGGATGCAAAAATAAAACAAGCAAAAAAATACGCTCGGGCGGTAGGTTACTGAAACTGGAATAAATCCGGAGCGGTAGTTTCACTCGGTCGAACATCGCAACGGGGGACCAATTGCAATTGACAAAACTTGCTGCTTCCGTATACTGTCCTCTTGCTTTTGTGTTTACGTATTTCATGTAATATTCAACATACTGTAAGATGTAAAGTCGCCATATCGTACCAAACTGGGCTGCTCTCTCAACAGACTGGTAGTGGTTTGAGGACAGTCCTCCATGGTAACTTCAGACAGTGTGGGAATTGAACCCATTGTTCGTATCACTGTACATAGCAGATCCAGCCATCCTGCCAATGGAGTTAACCAAAATCAAGCTTTTACTATTAGCACTCCCTTTGTCTTTTGCTCTGGGCATTCTCCCAATCTGTTCCACTCACTCCTCCTCCCCGCTTGGTCAACAATATAGATACGATCATTTCCCAGCCCCATTCAGTTATGAAGGAGCATCACTGGACTCAGTGTTAACTCTGTGTGCCCTCCACAGACTTGCTAAGTTTCTCCAATACTTCGTTTTTATTTCAAATCTTAACTTTCCTGCTTTTATTCTAAGCACTCCTAACTCTTGCTTGTAATGGACCCACACTGGTTTGGCCAATTTTTTGATGTTTGGAAGAAACTATTTCAGTGTTTTATCTATTTTTGCAATTTATATTAATATTCAATTCTCCCTTTCTTTATCAGCTTCTTGATCTTCCTATTCTAAAATTTAAATATACTTATCTGGAAACTTACAGGCCTTTCCTGTTAATCTTATTCAATCCTTAACTTCTATTGTTGAATGATGTTTTTTGGGTTTTTGTGCCTTCAAGAAATGTATAGTTGCTGTCAACTGTGGTATTTCTTTAATTCCAGCCACTGTCTATGTATAATCATGCATTTTAATATACTATTCCAATCCACTCCAGTCAAATTTCTCCCTACCCCATATCTTCACAATTTATTTTGTTCAATTCTATCACCCTGGTTTCAGACTAAACCACTTTCAAACATAACGTAAAATTCTATCATATTATCTCTAAAGGTTCTTTATAACATTATTAATTAGCCCTTTTAATTACATAGATCAAAAATAGCCTATTCAATCATTCATTTATCAACTTACTGCTCCAGAAAACCATCCCCAGTACACTCCAGAAACACAACCTCCATAGCATTTATGCTCACTAGGTTTAACCAGTCTATATGCAGGTTGAAGTCACCCATTCTTACTGTAATATCCATGGCACATGTTTCTCCTGATTAATACTATGCACCATACTACTGCTACTGATTGGTGGCCTACATGTAAATAACTCTTCTCAACGTTTGCCGATATTTCTTAGCTCCATCCAGATTCCATGTCATTCTGATCTGATACACTGTACTGATCCTATCACCTATCTCCAGTGCACCACCACCTCCTTTACCTTTTTGCATGTGTTTCCCAAAGATTGAACCCCAATATCAGGGTTTATAATGAACATGACTTGTAAAATTTCAAAAGGTCCTTTAGGGATTTCAAAATGACTTCATTGGAAAATTATGTAATTTTCTGCAGTTAAATTGATTAAAAGCCAATCACTCAGAATTCTGGGAATATTACAAAGCTTAGGTGAAAGTTAATTCACCTTTTGTGATTCTAAGAATGAGAAATAAATTGTCAGGTTGCCTGCCATTCTTCAGGTAAAACAGCAGAGGGAGCTGCAAACTACTCTCTAATCCTGGTCACAAAAACAGAACTTGCTGGAAAAGCTCAGCCGGTCTGGCAGCATCAATGCAGAGAAATCAGAACTGAGAAAGGGTCACTGGACCCAAAACGTTAACTCTGATTTCTCTTCATAGATGCTGCCAGACCTGCTGAGCTTATCCAGCAACTTCTGTTTTTGTTTCTGATTTACAGCATCTGCAGTTCTTTCGATTTTTCTCTAATCATTGTGGCTATCTCAAAATCAATCAGAATTAGACCTTTGTAATAGTAACTTGTGTAGCTCTTAACGTAATAAAATGTCCCAAGGAGCTTCAAAAAGCATTGTAAAATATAAGAGTGATATTAGGTTAGATGATTAAGGCTTGATCAAAGTAGGTTTTTAAGAGAACATTTTAAAGGAAGAATGTGACATTGAGAGATTTGGAATGGGAATTCCAGAGCTTAGGGCCTAGGTAATTGAAGGTATAGCAGCCAATGATGCAGTGATTAAAATCAGGATGCTAAAATGCTGAAATTTGGTCATTACAAAATCAGGATATTGCTTGGTTGATCAAGAGCCAATGGAAGTCAGCAAGATGATGGATGAATGGGCACTGATGATTTAAGATGTAGGCAGCAGAGTTAAACCTGTATTAACTCTGTAATTAATCCATAAATATGATACTGTGTTGTCACAGTCACCAGTAGTTACAGAAATCTATGCGCACAGACAACATTATTGTATTCCTAAAATAAAACAAAGCACTGCAGATGCTGGAGATCTGAAACAAAACAGGAAATTTGTGGTGAAACTCAGCAGTGTCACTGGATTCAAAACATTAACTCTGCCTTTTCCCCAGACATGCTGTCAGACCTGCTGAGTTTCACCAGTAATTTGTTTTAATTTCAATGTTGTTTTCTTGAAACAATGTTTGAATTCAACAAAATCCAAAGAAAACCAATAAAATTAAAATCATGTTTTTTGGGGATGTTTATTATCTGAAGGGACCATTTATCCTTCAATTCTTGATGACACTCCAGACCAATGCTCCTTATCTTTGAAGCAAGCGTGGAGAGATGAAGGTTAAATTTATGCCACTGTTAAGATGTTTCTTAAAATCCATCTCATTGGCCAAGTTTTTAGTCATCTAATAGTATGCAAACATGTGAGTTAGTGTCAAATTGTGTTTTCCAGGTGTGTTGAACTATTCAAGACTGTGATTTTCAAGTTCAGATTGAGCCTGGCCTTGTTTTGGGGAAGGAATATAGGGAGATCTACTCTGGCCTATTCCACAGTCTGGTCTGCGTCCAGGAATCCTTGGAACTTGCACACCCAGGGCTTACAGCAACTGGTGGATACTGAAAGGCACAGTGTCCATAGATACACAAAATAACACTGAGTTAGTTTTGTAGAACTCTTTTGCCAATTAGTCTGTTGAAATTAAAAATTTGACAGCTCAAACAGCACGGCTCCAGAACGGAGGCAGAAAACTACTCCAGCTTTGCTGTCTTGGTTTAACAATAATTTGAACATCAAGAGAGATCCATTGTTACATTTTTGTATCCATTGGGTTTATTAATCTGCTGAGCTTCCCTGTCAGTACCATAATTATACTGCTCAACTCCCACACCCTACATTCACTCATTATTCCCCATTTTCAGATCTTTTTCTAGATAACGTTCAAGTATTTTATATACACCTGGGACGGCAGACAGGCTTATTGACCTTCCCTCCAGTAGATACAATTTCTTTGTATTTTGTCCTTCAAACAAAACCCCTCAGACAATATTTAGTAGAGTGATTTAAATCTCTAGTCCCTGTTAACACAGATTGCATCGTTGCAAAGATTTGGAAGGGGTCTTGATGGCAAGTTGGTTAGCTCAGTTGCCTAGAGTGTGATGCACACAGCTTCAATCCCCAATAAACAGGTGTAGCAGCACATACAGGCCTTTCTTCAGTTTGCCCCTCAAGATACATATAACCAATTGTCTCTAATGGAGAGAGATGCTGATGGTCTTTTGCAGTCCAAGAAAGGAGAGGTGTTTGGGTGCCAGGTCTCTAGGTTAAGCCAACAAGATAGCCATCAGCTCTCAGAACATCATGCTGACAATCTAGATTTACAGTCCTGATGGAAAGCTTCAACAGATACTGTCTTTCACATGAAACTATCAAGCGTGGACCCATCTACCCTCTCAAGCAAGTTCAGAATGATCACGTAGCCACTACTTGACAAGTATGTTCAAATGGTGCCCTGAACACTTATCCCTCATCAACATGACAGAGAAAAAAAAAATCATTTATTTCATGGCAGATTGTGGGATTTCGTCGAGCATAGGTTAGTTGCTGCACTTCCTACAACATTGGCTATACTTAAGTGCTTCATCATTTGGAAAGAGGTTGGGAAGTCATGAAAGGTGCTATAAAATATAAATTTTTATTTTGTATCTTAGCAGGGAGGAAGATTACCTGTAGTTCAACAAAGATCTTTTTGAAGGTGGAAGAATTCCTGGGATTTTACTTGTCAACGAGTTGATCTATCTGGTGCATTTTTAAGTGAACAGAAATTTGTATAAAATTTAATTCTTGTAACATTTGAAAAAAACACCAGTTCCTTTAGTAGACAATTGTTTTATTTGATAAACTTGCTCAATAACAAAAATACAAGTGAGGGAAAATTATGTTCTCTTTGTACAGATGTATTAACAATGCCTCCTCTGAAATTATTGGTCTTAAAAACTGCAGTAACCAATTATAAAACAGATCGATAATATAATAGGATATTGTACAGGCTGTTTGCAGATATCCCAAAGAGTCCCTTTTGTGACTTTATACAATAAGAAAATGACTAGATCTCATTATGGATTTCTTGGATTAACCACTGAATCATTTGGACGCAGTGAGGCATTTGCGTTATCCTTCATTGTTGTGTCCTTCAGATAGGGGTTGATGTGGACTGGAAGCAAGGGGACAAATGAATGTAAACAACTCATATAGAAACCAAGATATAATACAACTAAACCATTAAATGAAACATCAGGGAACAAAGTAATGTAATTTCAGTGTTTCCCACCAGATAAAACTGGCTCTAGTTACGTTAACTCAACAACATTTTGAAAAAGATCTCTCCCCCTACCCCACCCCCCCCCACATCTTTTTAATGTGCTGCCCCAGAGAAAACATCAGCTCAGGAATGACTAACAGACACAAATGATCAACGAACTGAAACATACAGGATTGATGTGATCTACAAGAGTTAGAGAGAATATATAAATCTTTAAACAGAATGCAGTCCAAATAAATTTGTTTTCCAAAATAACGGGCTGCACTGATGATATTAATAATTTTCCTTTGCTCAGAAAGCACTAAATACCGAGTTTTCTTTTTGCACAGGGGAAAAATCAAGCCATTAAAGTGGGAATTTAAAGCAAAAGTGGGAATATATGATGCTGTCGAACTGCTCAGTCAGTTAACTGCAGGATCTAAAGCTAAAGTCACCATCAATCTACTAGACTACAGGGTTTTTCTCTCATTAGACAGATTAACCAGAGGGTCACCATGCCTCAGGCGAGAGGAGGGATTGAGAAGGAGTGTCCCTCATGGTAACTTCAGCCGGTACAGGAATTGAACTCACGATTAGCATCACTCTGTGACGCAAAGCAGCTATCCAGCCAACTAAGCTAACCGATCCTCTAGCTGCAGGGTGCACATGGTGACTTCAAAGCCCCTCAAAAGGGCCCTAATCTAACATGAGAAAAAATGTTGAAGCGGTGGGCGGCCCGTTGGCTCAGTGGTTAGCGCTGCTGCCTCTCAGGGCCAGGGACCCGGGTTCGATTCCACACTCGGGCGACTGTGTGGCGTTTGCACATTCTCCCCGTGTCTGCATGGGTTTCCACCAGGTGCTCTGCTTTCCTCCCACAGTCCAACAATGTGCAGTTGTCTAGGGTGGGATACTCCTTGGAGGGTCGGTGTGGACACAAAGGGCCAAATGACCTGCTTCCACACCGTAGGGATTCTATGATACTGTCAACTTGCTGATTGCGTTGGATTGAATGACAAATGATTTGCAGTTTGAGAAAATGAAAACAATTTGTACCCACTTACAAAGCATGATTACTGCAAAAGGATCTTCAAAACAAAAAGGCATGTAACTTTGTAAACTGATGGTCAACTATTTTAAAGGTTGTAAGTGGGTCTTGTATATGTCTTAAAATGTTGTATTACTAAAGGATACCTGATGTGATGTTCTGCGATATTGTGTAAAATTTAGAATGCAATACAGCGTGCAGAGCAGATGTTTTCAAATATTTGATATTCTTTCAGTCAAGTACCCAATACCTCCAATAATTTTGTCAAGTGATTTATTCAGAAGTCTGTTTCTACAATCTAGATATAGTTTAATACAAACACTTGGTCAAAGTACATCTGAAGTTCCAAGAGCTATTCCTGGGGCTTTTGGTAGTTATTTACTGCTATCTCCTGTGTTACTGCTATAAAAACTGCAATCTGAAGTGAGGCCAGGGAGTAAGGAACATACACACATTGCACAGTAACATGTTATGACGCGGGCTTTTTCACTTATATTGGCAGAGTATAGCTCATCTTGTACCATCAATGATATCAACCAGGTAAAGTGGAAGACATGGAGAGGACAGAGTGTACACAGGTAGAAAGCGGAGAGCAGAGTGTGAAACAGGGAGAGAAAGCAAAAGGTGAGCAAATGCAAGAGAAAGAGACATACATAGACACACACATATGGGCACAGGCCAGTAGGAGAGTGGCAGGGAGGCAAAGAGGAAGAAATGGGCAGACTGCAGAATGAGAAGCAGAAGAAAGCTAAAGAAATCTTTGTTTTTAAACTACTAAGACTTTACAGCCACTGGTGGTCCCATGTGAGCCTGTGTTAATCAGAACTGTACATGTGTTCATGAAAAATGAAACTGTCGTCAAGTCGGTTACAAACAATAAAATTAGGTCAACAATCTTTTGTTATTGCTAAATGAACATATGAGCTCAGCCATAATTTCTCAAAGTATGTTTTGTTATTTAGTATATAATTCAAGGTGTTTGCTTTAGAATACAGGGGATGTAATTCAGGAATTCTTGATCTACCAAATTAAATTATATTTCTGATTAATTAATGCTTTCTCATACTTCCTGGTTTAAGCAGATCGTTCACATTTCCATTCAGTTTCTTACCATACAGCACTGCTGGACTTGTCTTTTGTTTGTATTTCCAACAAGTTGAGATATGGGTAGGAATGTGAATGCTGAGGTACTAGGTCACTTAAATATACAAAATTGTTCCTTGATGGTTATATTTCTTGTACATCATTTTCTTCAATACGTAGAACACACAGATCACTGGAAGCAGTCGCCTTTTTGCCAGAAGTAATATTCCTGGCATCGCCAAATGACTCAATTTCACTTCTACCCACATTCTTTCAGTGAACAAGCACCTCAAGCTATTGCGTTAGCCAACACACAACCACCAGCATTGTGATCCACTGTGAGGCCACAAGGGCTGTTCTTGAAGAGATATGCTCAGGAACAGATTAGTCTAGTTCCAAACAATCTCTTTTGAAGGGAAAGGCACATAGTACATTTGTACAGTGCCTGCATCTAAACTCCATTTTTAAGAGTGAATGGGAATTAGCAATATTCCTGCAGCAGTCTCAGAGCTGTAATTACTATGTCTCAGTGCAGATGTGTATCTTAGGATAGGACAGTAGTGTTCTTTATAGACATCTAAGCCAAGCTTTATTGCTGATATATTAAATACTAGGTCAGTTGAGTTCACTCAGAAAGCTTGTGTAGAACTGCAGCAGTCCTTCAACAGCTGGTCTCACACAATTCTGTACCTGTTCCTGTCGATCAGATAGCTCAATCCATTATTGTCATCATAGTGAACAACTTCACACTGATCCCGAAGCATCAGCACAAGGTCTGAAAGGGAAGCTCAGTTTAATGGCTCTACATAGATGTATGGAAACATATAGTTATCCGATCAGAGATAGTATCTTCATTTAATATCATACAACCGGATTGCCTAGGATAAGTAAACACAATGAAGGTGACTGGAGCTGCTGAATGGGCTAAGTTAATGTACATCTGCAGGCAGATGTACATTGCACAAACAATGGATGAAGTTTTGGTAGTAAAAACTGGAGGACAACTCTGGACAACCACAGCCAGTACATTAGTCAAAACATTGTTTTAAAAAAAAAATCAGATTTAAGCAGTGGAGTGATTAAAAGGATATGTCACAATCTTTCTCCTCATATACAAATAATTTAATAAAGATAATTTCTTAGTTCAGCTTAGTCAACTTAAAAAAAAATTGCACCCAGTAAGGTTTAGACATGTGATAATATTGTGTAAAAACATGAAGTTGGGATCAGTTACTACAGAACAAAAAAAGCACAAAGAATGAGGTAACTGAGGACTTTCAACCATTCTGACCTCAAAATGACAGCAACTCGGACTTTGACCTTCTCAGCACAGTGTTTTCCAGTCATTTGAACACTCTTGAGTTGCATATACATTAAACTGCATCAGCCAACAGAAAGAGGAGGGGGGATTTCTTCTAAACATTACTGAACAGAAAACATAATATTTGGCTTTAATATCCAGCAGGATTAAATTTTCATAATTGTTTTATACAGAATAGAAAGCAATTTTTGATCTATAGGCTTCATAACTTGATCCTGGTCAGACTGGCACTCCATTGCGCTCCAAGTCCTGAATCACATCCAATTTGGTATAACTTTTGTTTAGTAGTGTAACATTCCTCACCAACTTTCAATTTTTCAATGGTTCACCATCTTGGAAATATCGCAACAGTCTATTCTTCAGTGAGGCCTGCCCCACCTGCATTGTCCATTTTACTTCCAGCCTAATACTGAATCTCTTTCTAAAGAGTGAAGAAAACTTGTGAGTGTGTGAACTTGGGCTCAAATGCCTGTTGCTAATATGAAGTGTTGACAGGTATAGTGTTAATGGTGGGGACACAGAAGGATAGATTTTGATGCCGCTTCAGTGAAGTAGTCTCCTCAGGTTGTTCATTTTCCAGAACAGCCCCATTCTCATCCACAATAAGCAGCAGTTTTTTTCACAATATTCTGAATCAGCATGAGGGTAGATGAAGGAAAAACTCTTCTTTGTCTCCAAAGTGCATAGTGATATGAACAAATCCATCCTCGGTCTTGGGAGTTGCTCTAAGCAGTCCCCAGATGACAAATGCAACTCGTATGTGTAACACTGGGCAGGCGTTTCTCTGTTTCTTCAACCAGGTAGGCAAACCTTCCCTGCAAACAGGAGTCCCACAATGGTAAAGAAGATGGACAAGACAAATAGCACGTACGATGATCCAACCTGGGTATTGTTGGGTAACTTGTATGGTTGCCCTCCAACTTCATTGATGTAAAATCCAATCGGAAATATCAGGGCTGCCATACAGAACAGGATCACTGACGAGGTGGGACGGCGGTGGTGGGGGGAGAAAAGAGAGAGAGAGGAAAAGGGAACAAGTACACATTAGTATATTAGTAATGTACATTGAGGCAATATAATTTGTTATTTCTCCACAAACATTCATCCTGATGAAATTTTATTTGCTTTTAACTTTGGTATGAAATAACTGAGCAAAGGTGCTTCTTGATTAAAACAAAAGGCAATGAAACAGGATATAACACAATGATGCATGTATATAGAGCAGTGATGAGGGGAAGATGGGTGTGCAACACACTAGGATATTTCTCCTTTCAACTCTTTGAATCCAAGCATTTTCTCAAAACCCCTTTGTAACATATAATCATGTTTTCTTGTGTGAAAAACAACCTGCATAAAAAAAACTTAACATTTTTTCTTTATTCATTCACAGGATGAGGGCGTCACTGGCTAGGCAGCATTTATGCCTATCCCTACCCTAGGGCAGTTGAGAGTTAACCACATTGGTGTGGGTCTGGAGTCGCATGTAGGCCAGACCAGGTAAGAATGACAGATTTCCTTCCCTAAAGGACATTAGTGAATGAGGTGGGTTTTTCTGACAATTGGCAATGGATTTATAGTAGTCATTAGATTCTTAGTTCCAGATATTTATTTAATTCAAATTCCACCATCTGCTGTGGCGGGATTCAAACTCATGTCCCCAAAATGTTATCTGGGTCTCTGGATTAACAGTCCAGTGATAATACCACTAGGCCATCGACTCCCTATGTTGCTGATTCTTGACAGCCCTCTGAAATGGTCTAACAAGCCAATCAGTTTTACCATACCGCTATAGAAAGATTAAAAAAAAAAATGTCACTCAGCATTGACTTAGGCACTGGAAACACCACAACCCTGAAAGGTCCTCCTCATTAACCTCTGGAGCTTGTGCCAAATTTGGCAAAACTGTCACACAGATTAATCAGTCAAAACCCCGACACTGTCTATAAAGTATGATACAGGGAGTATGATTATGTCCCAGGAGACACCATCAGCACATCCCTGTTCCAACAGCAGGGCAGAACCAACAGAGAAGGTGCCACAAATAGTGGGAGGGAGTTGTTCTGAGAGTTTTATGGCATTAAGATAAACACGAGCAAGGAAACCTCCTAATTACCACCAGTTTTCGTGACACTAAAATCCTGTCTACTTCCAATCACCTAAGTGCTTGAAGGGGTAATTGACAGCGCAACGAAGCAATATTTCCATAGCAATAACTTAATCAATGATACTCAGTTTGGGTTTTGCCATTAGCACTCAGTTCCAGACCTTATTACAGTCTTGGTCCAAATATGAACAAAAGAGCTGAGCTGGAGGTCAGGTAATGCTGACTACACTTTACAGCAAGGCAGCATTTGATTGTATGGAAACAAGAAGCTCAAGCAAATTTGAAGTCAATGAGAGTCAGGGAAAAATTCTCAGTTGTTTGAAATCATGCTGAGCAGCAGGAAAGTTGGTTGTGGTTGTGCAAGGCCAATATTTCAGTCCCAGGCCATTGCTGCAGAAATGCTTCAGTGTAGTCACCTAGTGCAACTATCTTTAGCTGCTTCATCAATGATTTTTCCTCCATTGTTAGGTTAGAAGTGAAGATGTTTGCTAATGATTGCTGTGCTCAGTAGCATTTGAAACTCCTCAGATAGTGATCCAGCCTGTGTCCATATACAGCAAGACGTGAACAGCAGTCAGGTTTGGGCTGATGTGCAGCACAAATGTTATTTGCCACAAGTGTCAGGCAATAATCAACTCCAATAAGAGAATTTAACCATCATCTCTTGACTTTCAATGGCATTACCATAGTTGAATCTACTACTATCAATATGTTGCTATCTTCAAGTTACCACAGACCAGAAACAGAATTAGACTAGCCATATAAATTCTGTGCGTACAAGAGTGGTCACAAGCTAGGAATTCTGTGGCAAACAACTCAACTCCTGACCGTCCAAAGCCTATTTATCTACAAAGCATATAAGCGGCACAGTGGCTAGCACTGCTGCCTCACAGCGTCAGGGACCTGGGCTCGATTCCACCCTCCGACGACAGTGTGTGTAGAGTTTGCAAATTCTCCCTGTGCCTGCGTGGGGTTTCCTCTGCATGTTCCAGTTTCCTCCCACAGTCCAAAGATGTGTAGGTTAGGTGGCATTGGCCATGCTAAATTGCCCATAACATCCAGGGATGTGCAGGCTGGGTGGATTAGCCACGGGGAATGCAAGGTTATAGGGATACAGTAGTGGTTTGGGTCCGGGTGGGATGCTCTTCTGAGGATCAGTGTGGATTTGATGGTTCAAATGGCCTGCTTCCACACCTCAGGGATTCTATGATTCTAAGTGACGAGTGTGACAGAACATTCTTCCCTGCCTGGATTGTTTCACCTCCAATGACACTCAAGAAGCATGACACCATCCAGTACAAAGCAGCCTGTCTGGTTGGCATCCATGCACCATCCTAAAGATTCACTCCCTTCACCACCAGCACACAGTGGCAGCAGTGTGTGCATCTGCATGTTGCACTGCAGCAACTTGCCAAACCTTCAATACTACATTCTAAACATGCAATCCCTACCCCCCAGAAAGCCGAGGGCAGCAGATGCATAGGAAGATCATTGTAACAATATCAACTGGACTGCAGCAGTTCAAGAAGACAGCTTAATGCTAATTTCTCAAGGACAGGAAAATTCTAACTTTGCTAGAAATGCCACAATATCTTATGAAATAATAAGAAAAGGCTAATCATACCCAACGCTGCATTTTCACAAATTGGGTTCAATTAAGTCTATGAACATGTAAAATATAGTCACACCACAGGTCAGTTATAATTTCTGAAAAGGTGCTCTAATGCTTGCCTAATCAACATGGTTAGAATTTAAGCCAAGATCGGAATGGAAAATATAAGGGGGCTGGAAACAATTAAGTTTTATTCATTACTCAATGGGAGATGTACAGGAACAACATTTTAGTTTGACATAACAACAAGTTTAATTGAACTGGTCCTTTTCTGCTGTCAAGGCAATAACTCTTGCATAGCCATTTGTGGGAATAATCCTATATTAAAGCTCACGACAACACTAGAATATCGATTCTTGTATGCACTGCAAATTTGCTCAATCCAATTCAAACTGAATGCATTTGAAGGTTGCTCTGATTATGCATTTAAAGGATATAGTCTGAACACACGTGTCCCACAGATGTTGCTAGCTCCGTAAGAGCCACTTGTGCTAAAATGCATTTCATCTAATAAAATGGGAGAACTGAAGCCAAGCTCACTATTAATACTAACTGCTCTAGTTACTATAAAGATGTCTCTGATGACACTATGACTGGTATCCCATGAACAAAGTTAAAAAAAAATTTGGAGTTGGCCAGATTTGCTAAAAATCTTGCCAGAGATTTCAGAAGAGCTTCATGGGCTTGTCCAGACTCAGCACCAGAGCCCCCATGGCCAAATTCAGCCAGACCAGGTGTTTATGCAGCCAGCACTGTTATCAACACTAAGAGACAAAGTCTTGCAATCACTGGCATCCACCACAGCTACACTCCTGCCTTGCAATCGACTCTGTCACTGCTGTTGGTAGCCACCTAAACACCACCTCATAAACCCTGCATATGATTCTGCATCTTCCAAAGAGTTTGCTGGTGTTACTCTGATGTGACAGTAGTATGACAGTTTTGGCATTGCATGCAATAAGATTTCACAGGCCTGGGGAGAACACACTTTCAAAACTAGCAATATCTGATGTCACATAATTGAATTCACCATTGTAAATGATGGCAAAAGGGAAGTAAGTGAATGAGAAATCTGAAAATAAACACCAAGGAAATTCCCAAGATCCACAATAAATCTTCCAACAACGTTGGAATAAAACACAAGTCAATACTGCAGGAAAATATAGGATCTCCCCAATCACCAACAACCTGCTGTTTGAAGATTTTGAGAAGATTTGTAGCTTGGGTTGTGGATGAGGTTGTAGACTTGCTCACTGAGCCAGTGTGTTTGGTTGCAGACGTTTTTTTACCCTGCTAGGTAACATCGTCAGTGCGCCTCTGGTGAAGCGTCGGTGTTCTGTCCTGCTTATTATTTATGTGCCTTGGTTTGCTGGAGTGGTTGGCATTACTTCCAGTTCTGTTTTTCAGTGGTTTGTATATCGGGTCTAGTTCAGTGTGTTTGTTAACAGAGATCCAGTTGGAATGCCATGCCTCCAGGAATTCCCTAGAATGTCTCTGCTTGGCTTGTGCTAGTATGGATGCATTGTCCCAATCTAATTTGTGTCCTTCTTTGTCCATGTGTATTGAGACCAGTGAGAATTGATCGTGTCTCTTGGTGGCTAGTTGGTAATCGTGTATCCTTATTCTCAGTTTTCTTCCAATTTGACCTATGTAATGATTTTCACAGTCTGTGCATGGTATTTTGTATTTTGTTGGTTGTGGGTATGGGATCCTTTACGCTCGTCAGAAGCTGTCGCAGTAGTACGCGGAATGAATTATAACTACAGAAACACCAAAAAAAACTGACTTCCTGGCTGCATTGGAATCAACACTAAGGAACAATGGACTCATGGAGGAAATACATCAAACAGATGATAGTCCCAACACTGTGCAGAAAAGTTAAGTGAAACATATTCAGGGTGGTTGCTGGTTTGTGGGCTACCTTGATATCTAGGAGTCTGAGTAGTCTTGTGGTCATTTCTGATATGCCCTTGTAGTACAGTAGGGTGACTAGTGTGTTTGGCCGTGTTGTGTCTTCTTGTTGTGGTCTGTGTGGAGGTAACTGTGGATTGTTCTTTTTGGGTACCCATTCCTTTTAAAACCTCTGTATAAGTGCTCCTGTTCTGCTTCACGCAATTCCGGATTGCTGCAGTGTGTTGTAGCCTGTTTGAATAATGTCCTGATGCAAGTCTGTTTCTGGGTGTTGGGGTGGTTGCTGGAGTAATTGAGTATCTGGTCGGTATGTGTGGACTTTCTGAATACGCTAGTCTGGAGTACTCCGT